AAACTGTTTCATGTATTTCTCTAAAATTAATGAAACTGTTTCATGTATTTCTTTAAAATTAAAATAATGAAGATGATAATATTCATGATTAACATAACCCACAATAAAAATTATTAATCAATCTCTAATAATTACAAAAAAATGAACAAAATGAAAAATTATGATTAGTTGAATGAAGTTTGTACGGTTTGTACAAATTAGGTGGTTTTTATTTGAACGCTCCCCTATATATATATATAGGTCTAATCAAATGAGAACTGATTAGTTTGTGGTAACATTTTTTAATGCTTAGAACCTCTCATATATATTTTCTCAACTTTTTGATTTTTATAAACGTTGAACATGTTAAAGACTTTTCCGCCCTTGTATGAGAAAATGAGTAGTTCATTATCAACCCGAGTTTTTTTTGTAATATTGTATACCCAAGTTTAACCTCCAACTTTTGATTTGTTCTTCCATTTACTTTCATTTTATTTTTTAATGAAATTTGTTTTTCAAAGTTTTAATAATAAACAAAATGAAATCTTAGAAATTAATTTGATGAGGGATGGAGAAGGTGAGAGTTGAAGAAGACTTCAAAGATTTTTAAAAAATATGTAAAATTTATATTATTTGAAAATGTGATTTGTTATTACATATTTCTTATTTTCAATATTATTGGATTTGTTGTTATCGTATAATATGATTGTGTTTATGATTGGATCATATAAATTCGAATAAAATTTTGATATTTTTGTAATTACAATATATGATAAAAAAATCAAATTTAAACTCGATCGACAATAATTGTTTATAGATAAGAAAAAAGTAAAAATAAGAAATATATAGCCCTCCCCTTATTGTGAACCCCAGCCTCCCCTTCCCACAAACTCCCATCGATGGCCATATCCGACGAACTCCAATTACTGACCATCTCCGACGAACGCCAATCGTTGACCATATCTGGCGAACCACCCAAAGACATCCATCTGTATCATCACTTCTCCATTCATCTGTTTTTGCTTCACCATCATCACCATTTATTAAAGAAGAGATTTTGCATCTCATTTGCCGTATCAAAACCCTAAAACTTTATTGATCTCAATCCAGATTCAATACATATATGAAACTGATTTATAGATCCTGATCCATATTTGGGGCAAATACAAACACGTAACTTTAGTGCTTGAGTGGGTTTCGATTTCTGCATTTTTTGCGACAATGCCATTTGTTTCAATTATTGGTTTCGATGGGGAAGGTTACATGAAGAGAATGAACGGTGGGGAAAATATCAGGATCAACGGATTGCTCTCAGTGGGTTTACAAGGGGCAGTTGTGTCAAATTGAGGCAGCATCAAGAGCTACTGTTTTGCTCAATGGTTTAGTATAGAATGATTATGTATAAAATGAAATATAATCGTTTGATAATTATTAACAATGAAATTAGGGTATTGAATGATTAAGGGATACTCATGATACAAAACTATTCAGATAGTTTTAGAACCATTAATAGATAGATTCTTTTTGTCAAACAAGATTTACCTCCTAACTATTCAGTGACTGCCTATTAATTGAACTATTAAAAGGTAAACAAACAACTCTAATGAGAGAGAGACCGGAGGTGGAGGTTGGTGGCGGGGAAGGGGCACCAAGATAATTCTAAAATAAATCAAAATACTTCTCATTTAATCGAATTTAACAGAAATATAAGTGTTTTTTAACAAAAGAAACGAAATTTGTTGGGTTTTTTTTTCTTTTTTGATTAATATGAATATCTGACCCGTTATGTGAGCTGACTAATCATATGACGATCACCTTCTTTGCAGATAGCACGAAGTCACTTCATTGAATCTTCGTGGCCCGAAGGGGTTTTTTTTCCCTCGTTGAATTTGAACCTGGAACGTCCAGGACTTTTGGCATTTAAAGTCTAAGCTCAAACCAATCAGACACAATTCTTATGGTTAATTTGTTGGATTTTGCAAACATGGAAGAAATATGTTATTATAAATAAAGGTTATGAACGATTTTTATTACAATCGACTAATGTCATAAATAAAATTCGATATTTTCGATTTAAAAAATATCATAAATGTATACTTTTACGAAAGCGAAGTGGCTCGTGGTTACGCATTATTAACCAAAGTGGAAATCTAGTGGTGAAGTGGAGGAGAGAAGTCATTGGCCAAAAAGACAATGGAGGGAATAAGTTGTTACCAATTAAATGTATTTACTTTTGTCTTAATCTGAAACAACGTCTCGAAATAGTTGGGTTTGAATTAATTTCGTTATCAAGTTTGATATAAAGTTATACTGATTTATACGTTTAAATACCTGCTTTATGTTTCATACTTTTAGAAAACCATTTTAGAATTGATTACAGAAAAGAAATCTTAAACTGTATTATTAATTCAATCAAGAACCATTTACAGATATAAGGTAAAAGAGTTATACTGGTTATTAAGTATTGTTGGGTTGATCTGATTTTTGTGTTTCTACGATGATGATAAATTGGCTTTCCTTTACCATTTTATCCTTTCCACGATTCATTTTATAATAACATAAATACATTTTTTTTAACAGTCGTTAGAGAGAAGGACGAAAGAAATATACTTTTATAAATTACCAAAGCTACATAAACAAAAAAATGTTATTTTTGACAAATCACAAGGACCAACTTTGTAGTTTACTCTAAACTAAAATAAGAGTAAAGTTCATTTTTGGTCCCTAACATTTATCAAATTCTATGGTTTTCGTCCCTTAACTTTACTTTAACATACTTGTCCTTCATGTTTGTCGATTATCGATGGATATCGTCCCTCCTAACGGCTGTGAACTTTTTTTGTTAAGTCCAGTTTAATGAAGAGTATTTTAGTTATTTTACATGTTTCCTTAATTTTCTTGTTTTACAAAGACCATCAAACTTTAGGGACCTTTATGTAATTATCTCTATTCTCTAATATATATATATATATATATATATATATATATATGTGTGTGTGTGTGTGTGTGTGTGTGTGTGTGTGTGTGTTTGAGATACTTGCATAACACGTCCTTACAGTTTGATGGTTTTTGTAAAAACAAGAAAATAAAGAAAACATGTAAAATGACTAAAATACCTCTCATTAAGTTGAACTTAACGAAAAAAGTTAACTACCATTAAGAAAAAGGACGAAAATCGTTGCGAGATGTCAAACATAAGAAATAAAACTATTAAAATAAAATTGAAGGACAAAAACTGTTAAAAATCATAAACATTAAGGACGAAAAATGAACTTTACTCTTAAAACAAAGACAAGAACTACTTTATATAGTTGTGCACTTTGTTAAAGTTGTGGTACACAATAAAAGAACGAATAAAGATGGGTGTTTCCAGAACGATAAGTAAACACGTTATTGTATTTTGACTATTTATTTTTTAATTACATATTTATGTTTTATAATTATATTAATTATGTTGTTTAATATAATTTTAACTAAATACTGTAGCCTAAATCATTAATTAAATATTAAAATGGTGTAATAAATTGATTTAAGATTAATATAAAACCAAATAATAAAAAACAATTGATGGATAAAATATTAATTGGTTGAATATTCTAAAGATACCAAAAGTTTCCAACACATTCTTTAATCATTAAACAATTAAACATTATTGATGGTATCCTCTATGCCTATCTACTTTGACATGACTTTCAATTTTTTTTAACATAAGAAATTATATATATATACACATACAGATACGAAGGATCGTGTGAGAAAAAAAATTAAAATAAAAATTATAAAAAAATAATTTAAAACAATTAAGAGACATATTTTTTTTGTCAAATAATATTCAATTCTTAATGATTCATATGATTTCTCTTAATAGAACTATTAAGAGGTAAACAAACAACCCTTAAATCATAGAGTAGTTTATATATTTTTATAGCTTGAATGATTTAATACAATAAAACAATATTATTAATATTTAAGTAAATTCAAAAAATAATAATTATATATTATTTCACTTTTGTTAACCATGGACGTACAAATCAACTTGTATGCATCTTGAGTATTGACTTAGGGGCTTTAGAGAACAACCAATAGAATCTTAGTGACCTTGTAATATTCGAACCTGTGATCTCTAAAAAAGATCATCAATAACCCAAATATTATTATCAGTTGAGCAGTAATTATATATTACTTTATTTGTTTTAAAATAAATATTTATATTATTATTTTAATTTATCTCAAAATAAGTGTTTACTTTCAAAAGTAAATTAACCTAATCTTTATTCTATCTTAATAACATTTAGTTGTCTTTAAAAAAAATTATTTTTCATGCATTTTTTTTCTCTCTATAAATGATAAAATTGTTATTATATTAATTAAAAAATATATTGATTAAATATTCTTAAAACTATATGATTTCTTATGAAGATTTATCGGATAAAAGGAAAAAGAATTGAGAGAGTGATGGCCTTAAATAAAAGCACGTGACTGCGAATGGAAGTTGCCTGCTGTCACAAGTTTTTGACCCGAGATATTAAACTGCTTAATTTCTCGTGGCTCCCTCCAAATTATCCGTAGATGGTAAAATGCGCAACCAAGTTCTCTCCGGTATATTCTTAACAATAATAAAATAAAAGAAAATTAGATACTTCTCTTTTGAATAAATTATATGAAAAAATAACTTATTTTAATTTGATTTTTATTTTATGTAACATATTTTTAAAACTTCTATTTTGGTATATAAAATGTAAAATTTTAAATATTTAAGTATCCAGATAACCAGTTATCATGCTGATACGACAAGTGATGAGATGAAATTGGGTTGAATAACAAATAATACTGAGTTGGATACCACATTACTCGTTACATCAGCATGACAACCGGTTAATGTTTCAACCAGTAACTCGGATACTTAAATGTTTAAAACTTTACAGTAAAATTGTGAAACTAAACCTTCATAATGCCTTTGATATGGAAGTTATGCGTTTTTCATACAATTGCAATATTATTTTCTATGATAAACTCACGAAAATATATTGGTCTCACATAAAGTCATCCCGATGATTTATATACAAGTAGAAAAGTACTCGCAAAATACAACAAGATATATTTCGATTTCAATGTTTCATTATTCTTTTTTTTGGTCTACGTCAATGTTGTAGTAGGAATTTATGTGGTTTTGAGCAACAAATAACGGTTTTTCTTAATACAATATAAATTTGAAAATATCATTAAAATTAAAAAATATATAAAAGTTCTCATTTTCATGTAATTTATTTAATT